CACATTCAATGCTTTGTCCCAGACTTAATGGTGTCACTTTGCTTTGCGGTTGACGTACGTTTTCCGCGGAAAGGTTTGTAGTTCGATTGCGTCCTTGGGTCATCGAAACCCCCATCAAGCCAAAAATTCATTTTGTGGAATTTCGAGTTAATACTTTTTGTGATCAGTTCAAATTTTTTGTGATAAGTATCTGTATAAACTATAGTCAACAAATGTATTTGCTCAAGAATAGTAAAATATCAACCAAAATCTTTCATCATATAGATGAAATACATCACCGATTTTTTTCAGAGAAATTCTGAGAAATTGCCCATCTGTGCGGACTCTGAGGCAGGGCAGTTTGCGTTTAATATATCACCATAAAAAGTCTCAGGTGATTAGAAAAGTGCGAGGGTAGAATAATACTGTTCCCGTTCCAGTCGTAAGCCTGTCAGAAAGAAGCCAAAGGAAATAATTGGCACATGGTATCAAATTTGTTTGTCACTGCAAAAAACAATGCATTTTTTTCATAAAGTAAAACTTTGGAAGTGACACGAAAACGAAATTAGCCTAAAAGAGAATTGAGATTTTCGACTATAAAGTTTCAGAAAAAAATTGATTTTTTTCCAGCTTAGATTTTCTAATCTATTGACTTTTTTCGTCTTAAATTTAAGTTTAGTCCAGTTTTGCGTTTGTCATTTTTTTTACAGCAGCCAAAATATGGCTGGTTGCTGAGATAAAAAAATAGAGTGATTATTTTTTTTAAATGTTTTGAACATATACAAAAAGGTTTTGATGGTTTAAAGATTTGTAGAGCAGGATATATTGCAATAAGGCTACCGATATCTTTTGAAAGCCATCCATTTTTGGACTGACTTTTAATGAGTCTAAAGCAGTCTCAGCTTTTTTCAGTTTAAAATTATTTACACCACTTGCAACTTCAACTGCAAAAAGAATAGTTGCTAAGAAGTATTTCTGAGCCGCTTTAAGTCGTCTATGGATCAAGTAGCTGGGTTTTATTCAGTTTGAAAAAACTTTTGAGCCGCTGTAAGTCGGCGCTTACGCTTGCACTGTAGTTCGAAGATTCGCTATTTCACGTTTTGTTTACTCAAAGTTACCATTTTGAACAGGGCGCACTTAGCCGAGTTTGTAATCGGACAAAAGTGAAAACTCATCTTCACTTACAAATCAATTGGTTTCTGAAGTTATTTGAAGTTTTAGGCAAACTTATTTTTCCTTTGAGAGCACACCCAGTTAAAGCAATTATCGCATTCTAATAGGCACACATGCTAACCGGTACACATGCTGCATCCCTACTGACTGTTACACAGTTCGATAATTTTTTCTATTTATGAGTTTTTTAGTTTAAAAAATCAAAGTTTGCCTTCAGAAAAAGTTATAGACATTTTTTTAATTTTGATTTCCAGGTGTCTGTATCTCTAAGATGACAAAAATTATATGATTTTATATTAACAAATGCAAGTAACCCAAGCTAATAAATTCTGTTTTTTTGTCAAAAGTTGGAAAAAAAACATTAAGCCTTCTGCAAAAAAAAACTTTGCTCCAATGCCGAATTAATCGAGAAATGATACTGATTGGCTTCCAGTCTGAAATTTGTTTATGAAGTTTGTTTGTGATAAAAAGGTATAGATCAACCGTACATTCTCCGCGAAAAATCATAAGAAGAGCAGATATAAATTTTTCAGATAATTATTTTGAGTATTTAATCGAATCTGATCAGCAGGTTAATAACAGCCAAACACTTTTAAAAGCAATTTAGCTTGCTCAAAAACAAATATCTGCATTTGCTGATTAACATTGTTTAATGGCAGTTTCTTTTCCTTTCTCCCTAATTTATAATTATAATTTTGAACAAGATTGTTCGTTTATCGGGGAGTTTAACAAGACAACCGCCTAATCTATTATAGTTTTTGGCAAACCATGCACTGGAAAGCCGTAACAATTTATCAATATATCACACTTTAGAAGACTTTTCGAAATAATGAGTCATACGAAAATAAAATGACTAACTAATTCATTTGCTTCTATTCAATTTGGATTGGTTTTATAGTGCGGGAAAACTCAAAACGCAATTCTGATTCCCGCTAGGTTAGTTTTTTTTGAATTTGAACTCAGGAAGTTGATAACTTCAAAAGGGTTAAAAATATTGATTTGATTGCCAAAATTCGAGAAATTAAGACCATCCCAGTATAAATGTTCTGCACTTTCTTCAGAAATTGGAATAAACAAATGTTTTAAGATTGCCAAAAACAGTTTTGCATATGTATGGCAATCAAACTTATTAATCTGAACACTTTCTCTTCGCATTTACAAGGCCCCAGATTTTAGTTAAGTACAACACCATTATATTTAATTAAATAGTTTTTTGAAAATTATCGAAACAATTGAAGAAAGCTTGCTAAAACTCGCGTTTTGAAAAAATTGCTGCAGTAACAGCAAAAAGAAAACATTTTCAACGAACTTTCTGTTGAAATTTGTAGTGAGTGTGAGAGAAAACCCAAGTAATTCATTTGTGGTAACATTTACCGGAAAGTGTACAGTTTTCAGTTTTGTGATATACAACATCTAACCAACGCCCCCACCCTGTGATTACAGGCCTTGGTGAAGATGTCAAGGTTGGCGTATAACTTTGACATACTTGGTTTTTTGGAGAATTTCAACAAAAACACTTTAAGAAACGTATCTCTTTGATTTGTTCATTTTCTCCATTTTCTCATAAATAGTTAGATAACTACGAAAAATAGTTCTTAGACTAAAATCCGAGGCCCGTTACTTACATAAAATTGGGCTACTGGTTCCTTTGATCGCAACGATAAACTTTTTATCTAAATTTGCCCGCCTTGGTTTCAAATGGGGCCTCGAAATTTAGAGAAATGGACAGCAAGCAAATTAAACGATTGTAAAATAACTGAATTTAGACAATGAAGAACAGGGCAAATAAAATTTCTTGTATATCATGAAGTTACACAAAAACAAAAACACAAAAAACACAAGTTACACAAAAAACTTTTATGATCGCTTTATCAACTAACAGACAAAAAATTGCATGTAGTTCTTAAGCAGGGTACAACAGCGGTTCGCCTTGATGAGCTGTACAGCTCGTATGTTGGTCCTATCCCTCGTGGATAAATGATCTTAAATGATCTTAACATGAAATGGAAAAAATATTTTTTTTTTGAAATGCATGTTATTTAATTTTGATTTTAATACCCTGCTTTGCACAATCAAAAATTAATTTAAATCTAAACATTTTGCTTGTCGTCTAGCCTTCTAACTCCCTTTTAAATTACCTAATGCTATTAATTACCCTTATATAAATACTCGTTGATGTAATCAAACGCGCCAATTAATATGACCTGAGGGAAATACTCGGTAAAACTATTCTTTTTCTTTTTGGGCAATGTTATTTGAGTCCTTCCGATTTTATTTCCTTTTTCTCGAGAGATTTGTCAGTTGATATCTCACTCGCCTTAAAAATGCAAGCATATGAGCGGCGAGAAGTCTGTATGCGACTTAACGGCTTCGAGCATCAATATCTGGTGTTAAAAATGTCAACAAACGTTTTTTGTGTTATCGAAATTGACCCATAAACCAAATGGCTTCCCCCCCCCAAATTTCAAATTTTCTATTTTATAGTTGTTTGTTATACGAGGTGGTATCATTACTATACGCGTGAAGTTACGATAAAAATTATTAGGGACAAATCTATTCACAACCATTAGTTTATTCGCCATGCAAATTTTCATTCCTGAAATTCAAAAGTTGGGAAAAAGGAAAAGAGCTGAAAAAATTGTTCAGCGCATCAGTTTTCTTAGTTTTCTTTGAAAGTCAGAACAAAAATATTTTTTAATCAGCAATCAATTAGTGGATGGATTTGGCCATCATTGATTTTTGTCGCCTCTTTGAAACAACAACTGTGTAGCAAGCATTTCAGATTTTGAATCTTGATTTAAAAAATGAGTCTTTTTAACAAAACAAAAACTGCCATCAACGCAGGATCATTTTGACTATTATAGTATGAAAACTTTCAAGAAAAGTTAAGAATTGATTGGCCAGAAAATGCTGAGGAGAACTGAGGTGGGGGGGGGGGGGGGGGCATGGCGTTCTCTTTATTCCTTTGGCACGCGGCTCTTTTCCCTCCCCCCTTCAAAAAAGTTTTGTTCGCATCTGATTGTTACAAAAATTGGCATGCGGACTAATTACGCCAGGACAAAATTAACTAGTCTTCATATTTAGCCTTGTAAGACCCTTCGTTACATCATTAAATGAATGCTTATTTTAAATGGTTTAAAAGGAAAAAGAGCCCGGCACGTATCTGCCTCAGCGCCTTGTGAATTCTCAATAAGCAGCATTTATAAGAAAACATCTTCTCTTTTCAGTTCTGGTGAAAGCCCTGAACAAATTCTATTTTGCACTAAATTTCTACATGCATTTTATTTTTTAAAAAAATGATATTTTGGTGAATTTACTCTATTTTTGTGCCAAGTTGTTTTGCAATATACTTTTACCCTCAAAAAGTATATTGGCTTTCTTTTTTGATGATTCAACGTTACGCATGATGACAAATTGTAAGGTGCCGATTCGCCCCAAGCAATAATTTCTGACAGGGGTGACCCTTGTCACAGATGCAGATTGCACATAAAACTGAATGAATATTTGGTTGTGATTTCCGCGTTTTTATAGAGCTATGGGGTTTTGAAATTTGCCTATTTGGCGAATTAAGACAATTAACAGGCAATAAATTTCGTTCTGTTTACGCATAAGCGGCGATTTAATCCGGCTCAGAACACTTCCGATCTGAAATGAGGTGAGACATTTGGTCTCCTTAAAAATTATTAGACGCTTAGTAGATCTTTTTGTATTTAACACAATGTATAAGTGGTTTTTAAAAAATCTGAAAGGAAAATTTGTAAGGAAAAGTTTTTGGTTAAATGACTGGGAAGTTTCAGGTATTTGTCCTGATGCGAGCAGTCCCCTTAAAACTTTGTTCACTGTTTTAGAGGACGAGATCACGACTTGTGATAGTTCCGAGTCCCTGGAGAAGTTCGAACAGGACCTGGACGAGATTGAACTCACTCAAAAACAGATCACCAAACTCATTCAGAGGGTATTCAGTTGAAAGTTTATTGGCTGCCTAATAAATTCGAATAAACTCCCACAGAAACCAGCTGCTATTGGAATTTTTTTCAATTACGGCGGTAAATTTCTCATACCTTGAGGCTATTCATTCAAAACTATTTAAAAGTTTTTTGACTTTGGCGTTTAAGATCAATTTTTATTTTTAGCTGACTGGAATTCTTCAAAATCTGTGGACGGCCGACAGTGAAGTGCTGCAACACATTCGGGCCGAGGGGTCGACCCCGACTCACCGAACAGTGGCGATGACTCATCTAGAACAAGACGCGATGCTACTCGTGCTGCAATCAGAACACGAGCAGCAGATTGCTCAAATGAGTGAATTGAGACGACAGAGGTCGGCTGTGTTTCGTCAGCAAATCAGAGACAAGAATGCAATCGGCGGTCAATCTCATCAGGAAGACACATCCTCAATTCCGAGGTCTTCTTCGTACGAGTCGGCTGCCGAATTGGAGCGAGTGAGTCATAAGTTTGAAGCACGGGTGTTTTGTAAATGAATTATAGTTATCATTAGTTAGAACAGCATATAAGGCCAACAATGAGGTCAATATGTAAGGACAGCGCGTACCAACTTGAAGGAGAGGGCGTACCAAAAAAAAACGCAATTCTTTTGATAGAAACTTTTTCTCATAATGGCATGTAAACAACATTTTTACAGATTCGACATTTTTCAACAGATTGAGCATAACATAAAACTATTAATTGCATATGAAAAGTGTTTGTTTTGTTATTATTATAAATCAATGTTGGCAGCTACTTGATTGGGAACTACTTAACGGGATGCTCAATTTTAAAGAAACTGTTATTGTTTTTTACTCTCAAACATATTGACTCTACAAAATATATCAATAATATTGTACTACGTTAGACTAGGGCGCTGATTAATTACTCCTTCTCCTCAATTCGGGTGGCAAAAAATTTTCCAAAGGTTCCTCTTTAGTACTTTTTTACGACACCCATTTTCGATCGACTAGCCCTCAAAAATTCTAAAGGCGCCATCGACCCCAATTTACACTAATTTTGAGGGGAGAACGTGCGGCGAAGAAACGCAAATTTTTGGTCATTCAATGAATTTTGACAGAACTACAAAAATTTGAAACGGTTGACAAAAATAGAGCAAAAAGAGCCACTGCATATTGATTTTTGAGCCCCAGCTGTCATTTCAGGTTGCTTCCACTGTACCAACTGACCAATTTCTGTCTGGATTGAACGTCGAGGGAAGAATCAAGCTTCAAAAAGGTAGAATCAAGCTTCAGAACTCCACATTTCCTTGCTACGTTCTGCCATAGAAATTGGAAAACAAAAAGAAACAAGACTGCTCGTATCAATGCAAAGCCCTGATTGTTCCCACTGCGCTATAACTCCGATGCCAAAGTTTTCAACTTGAAAGTATTGATGAAATTTTTGCAAATTTTTTTTGACAATAATCACCCGCACGCCTTCAAATAGATTTTGCTCAAAGTAACATCAAATTTACGAATAGTAGCTAAGGTTAGCTCAATTAAGAACGATTTATGAGCCCGAATATATCGCCGCATACCGCATAACTTTAGAAGAAAAAATCACAGGTGAATCATTTTTTTTTAATTTTGAGCTCAGGACATCAATATATTCCGTTTAGACACAATAAAAAAAAATTTCCAAAAACTGGTAGTTAAAAAGTTGAAACTTGCTTATAGAAAAAAAACACAACGAGAAAAAATAACTTCAAAAAAGCTGCCCTTCAAATAACTTCAAACTAGGATATGGGTGGTTTTAACTACCCTCCTCCCCCCTATGGAACCTAGCAACAAATTGCCATCCTGATAAAGATCTAACTCAATATTTAGGCAAGTGTGAGTTTTGTATAAGTAATACATCTCCCTCCCTTTTGATTTCATGAATATTTCATACTGGCTTTGTTTTCTTTTTGCTCCGCTTTTTAAAAGAAGTGACGGAATATTTATGCTTGTGGTGGTTTTTTTTATTCAGTCATTTTTCGATTTTTTAACTAAGCGTTTAACGGTAGTTTCTTATACAATCTGGAAAAATTTGTTGTCTGGAGCTCAAATAAAAAAAGTACACCTGCAACCATTTTTATTAAGTTTTGGGGTTATGATATTAGCTAATTTGGCCAAGTTGGTATAATTAACGCGCGATATATCGAGTTCTTATAACACGCACAAGCAGCAGAATGAATCGTTCCAAAATGAATTGAGGCAGGTTATTTGTTTTTATCATTAAGATATGAAACGCTAAAAACAACCTTTTGAACTTCACATGGCGTTGTAGGAGGGTTAAATGAGGATAAAAGTTCAAACAAGTTTTTTTCTTTCCTTCATTTTATTTTATTATTTTTTCGATCAAAAATTTTCAAATTGACCTTAAAATGAAGTAGCATATGAAGTAGAAACATTCGCCCTCGTCTGCGAGCAGCCTTTTTTGTTTTCTGTAACTTTTGGCTTGATTAACATTGATTCATTTTTTGAAAGGTTTGATAAAGTCCATGATATGTTGTAATATTGTTTATGTAGGCAAGATTAATAATGTTAATAAGGTTGGATTGATATTTTAAGATACAATAGAATAAAGTACAGAATAGAATCATTGAACTAAGTAATTAGCCTCCCATCATACCTGTTTGAGGGGTCTAGGTAAAATTTCCAGTGTTGAGAAAAATGCGACTGAAACTTTCGATTTTTAGATGTATTAATCGCGTTTCAAAAGACAAAGACAACATGTTTTTTACAAAAACTAATCAGCTTCAAAAAAAAATTTAATCCTAAAGCCACAAATTTCTTACAACGATACTGCACATATGCCACCCTGTATTACATGATCGGTATCCGACCATTCTTGTTTTTTTTCAAATTTTTCTATACCACCATATCACTATTTACATAAATTGTTTTTTATTAATTTTTGACGGGTTTACTGTCTGAACTCTTTTTTACATCTTGCTTCAAAAATATTTAGAATGACTGTGTTTTAGGAACCAATTTCTACAACATACATTCGAAGTCAGTTGAAGCTGAGACGAAACAGCGCAGAATTGATTCATCGGTAAGAATTTTCTATCGAAACTATTGAAAGATAAACTCTCTAGTCGCTTGTTTCAAGTTAATCAAAGTTGAGGCACATCTGAACAAGAGCCCTCAGATCTCTATGATTTTGATAAAGACAATTTCAAGCTAACGTTTTTGTTGGGTCTTGTGCTCTTATTTTTTTTGTCGAAAACGTAACTGTAACAAGGCGGATTCAGGATTTTTTCAGGGGGCGGATTTTCAAATAATTTGCGAGTTTTTGAAAAAAAAACAGGCAAGAAGGACGGTTTTCCAGGCTTTTTGAAAAAATTTTGATCCAAAGGTTTATTTAGATAACTTTGAGGGTCGGTCAGCCAAAGGGATGTCCTAAAGTATTAGCAAAGGGGGAACCTTTGAGTGGTCAAGGGGTCGAATTCCTGCAGAGGGAGGAAGGGCGTTCGCCCCCTCCCCTAAATCCGCTACTGATCTGCATGGCTTGTTTTTTCATTCAAGACCATTTTTGTGAACCGATTTTTGAAATCAAATAATTAATATTTGTTGGTTTCTCGAAGACCACATACTGGGTTCAGGTGGTCCAGTTATGTATCGAAAGTCTGCTTTTCTACCATGACTTCTATAGAACGACCAGAAAAATTAGAGTAATAAGTCAACCAGGTTTGATGGCGGCCGACATGAGTAGACCAGCTTGACTGACATTTTTTGAGTTTCTAGGATGTCCGGAAAGTTATTTGTTCATCTGAAGTTTTACCAGCAAAAAAGTTACATACAGATCCCTGCAAATTTAACGAAAATTTTCAGCATTAAGCATTAGGTTGAAAAACGGCCTATCCAACTCAGTATAATATCAATATAAACTCTCGAGTGAACCTCCATACGAAAAAAGCTCATCTCAGTTCCATAAATTGAGTTTTAATAAATGCATGTCATACAATTTTAGTTTGTGAAAAACTTAAAAACGCTGACAATTTTCTGAGTTTCTAGATTTTTCGACGAAAAAAAGCTGCCAATAAAAAACTCCCAGAAGAAGAAGTTTTACCAGCATCATCTGAAGTTTTACCAGCAAACAAAAATTCCATAAAGATTCCTTCAAAGTTATTGAAAGATTCCAGTATTAGGTTGAAAAATGGCCAATCTAAACCATCGCTCTAAAGTCTTTGTTCTAAATTCCCGGGTTGGTCACCTCAGCCCATCACAATTTCATTATTGAGTCCTAAAAATGCTTTTCATATTTTTGAGAAATTTTACGACAAGCAATTTGTTCAATCAAACAAAGTTTTAGAAAATTGTTTCAGTTTTTTGCTGAACAATAGTCCTTCGTTAGTCAAAAAACTGAGTTTCTTCTGTGTATGGAAATGCTTGTAAAACAGTTCTGTTAAAGCAATTTGCATTCTAAGCTTTTTTCCTTACAAATTTTCCAAAAATGAGGAAGGAAAAAATTTTCATTTTCAAACAGTTTTCAAAAATTTTGACAATTTTCCTCAATAACGTAGCCCAAAAACGGCCTTTTTACACAGAAGGATCAAAAATTACGGTAAAAGTTTTCTGTGAGGTCAGAATTATTGTTTGTTGTTTGCAGATAATATGATTACACTAGCCAACTTAAGTCAGTTTTAGTGTTATAGTACGGTTATTCTTTTTTAAACCAAATTCTCAAAAATTGGCGTCATTTTTGGAGCACCTTTACGGCTTTTGATAGCATGTAATCTGGCATTCGAATGGTAATAATTTGAGACAGTTAAGGTATTTTAAATTCATCAAATGAATCCAAAAAAAGCTATTTGCTTCAAACAAGATAACCATCAAAAAACCTCAAACTCAAAAGTTTTATACTTAATAGATCTTGCAACTCTTAAATGGATTTTTATTACATGATGTGTTTATACCCTTTCTATTTTATTACCTCAAAATTTAGTGGGGATGCCTTCAGTTTGTCATAGTCCAAACTATTTCTTGCAAAGTTGTGTCTATTCGTTTTTGGCGCAACGTTTGCTGCATCAAATTGTTAGCATTTGAGCTGCTTCGTTTGTGACTAGTTTTGCCGATTGATACGCGTTCGTGGCCGAAAAGGCAGGGCGTGAGGCTCCATTTCTCGGAGTCGCAGGTTCGCAGCCCATACTGTTCATAATGTCCAATTGTTATAAAGTTTGACATACGGACTAATTAGAATGCGGCAACGATAAAATAATTTGGTCTCAACAATTAACGTTGTAAAACCGATCGTTACATCATAAAATTGATGTTCATGTGTTTTGGGGAAAGGGAAAAGAGCCTTTATCATGTTCTCGCTAGTGTTTGCGAGGCGCAGCTTTGCCTCTATGTAAACAATAATTCGTCAAAACAACACATAATGATTTTCAACAACTAAACTTTTTAAAACAGAGCCTTTAGAGCCAAATATAAAAAAAATTTCTAAGAATTTTGTGTGAATTTTCTTGGTTCAACTTATTTAGCATAGTTAATTACATTGTTTAATCTGAGATGTTGCTGCCGTTCAGCCTTGTTGTTTTTCTCATTCGACAAAACTATTGGGTGCTGTAATAAGGCAAACCATAAAATCCCAATGCAAAGTCGAACGAGTTGAGCAATTTGATCAAAATTGAGTACGATTAAACAAAAGGGACCAAAATTGATCAAAGTTGACCAGGGTCGACCAAAGTTGAAAAGCTCGACTCAACAACGGTAATATTTTTAGTCATACAGCCCATACATAATGCGACTACTTCGACCACAGGATCAAAAATCTTGACCCCTGGATGCAAAATCAAAACCTATTTTGGTCAGGCGATGATTGTGATATTATGATTTCTTTTTCGAAAACTTAGAAAAGTTTCGATCAATCAATCCGAGCTTTAAATCCAATTTCTTTTTTTTTGCACAACGAGTGAGTCTCGCATTTGAATTATATCACTTGTCACACCACATGTTTGAAAACAGGTTCTAAACATGGTTATGAATGAGATATTTGAATGTTCCGATCACTATTTTGAACCTGGTAATTCTTCGAATATTCGGCCATCCCACTAAAGTTTGAAGATCATTGAGCTTGGACTGATGATACAAGACTGCTCCTAGCAGGGAAAACTTTGAATGTTCCGACTGCCATCTATCTAAAAAAAATCTTAAAAAATGTTCAAAAAAACTCAGGGGCGGATTTAGGGGGGGGGGGGCGACGCCTCTTTTTTTCAGGGATTCGACCCACTGCCTACCCAAAGGGTCCCCCGGTCCCCCTTTGGGGCTTTTTAAGAAATCCATTTTTGGGCGACCGACACTAAAATTTTTCTAAAGGCGCCTTTGGCGCCAATATATACTAACTTTGAGGGGGAGCGCGCGCCAAAAAAAAACCCAATTTTTTGTCAAAATTCTCCAAAAAGTGCCCTTTTTTGACCTAATTTGACCTGAGAAAAACTTGAATCGTCGATGTAGTCACATAATCGAAACTACATAATTTTTCAAAAAATGACCACACATGAAATAATCCTTTTAGATTTGAGCTCTTGGTAGCGATATCTTTCGATGGTATAAATTGTGTCATAACAGTTCACTAAATAGTCGAAACTTGACTGAATAAAAACAAGACTACCCGTTTATCAGGGCAAAACCCTGAATTTTCCGATTGCACTTTCAGGCCATTCAAAATTTTGTTGCTTGAAAAATTGATGAAGTAACTTTAGAATCATTTTTCTTCATCCCCATCCCCAAACGCTATGTAAAGTAAACAGGTATGCATGCAGCGTCTCCTTTCCTAAAAGTTCGACCTAATTAATTACTCCGCCACTTACGATTGTTATAAGAAGGAAATATATTGCGCGTTAATTCTTCCAAATGGGCCGAGTTGGAAGTTTTCAAACCATCACAACGTTCCGAAAAACGATCACAGATAAAAAAAATACTTTTTTACGCTTGAGCGTTTAATTAAAAAGTCGAAACTGACCGAATAAAAAACCACCATAGTTTGGTTGACCTGAAATTCAGTTTGGTTGACCTGAAATTTCTAAGTAGCGTTCGAAAACTATTTGAAATCACCCTCGCTAAGCCCTAGATCTGGCACTGACTTAACCCAAATGCCATTTTGCCTTACCTCGACTTAATTTTCAAAAATGTGCCTATAGAGTAACTTCATTTAGAAAGGATTAATTTTAATTTCAACGTTTTTGTAGTTTAGATAGCTATTCGTTCACATTTGCAACAGTGAGTTTTTAATCTGTTTCTGTGAATATAAGTCAAGGTCAAAAGTGTCGCGCAAGTACCTGCCAAACTCTTTTGCGTTTTGTTGGCATTTTTGTTTCATGTCACTAATTTCAATTCCGGTCAGATTTCCGAATGGCTCTTTCGCTTTTGGAACTTTGATCAAGTCGAGCCATTTCTGAACGTCATCCCTGCTCCATTGGGAAATAAGGGTAATTCCCCCTTGGGAAATTACACTCGCAGGGTCAATTAAACTTTGCCGTCGGACTCTTTCTTTCGACTTATTTGAAGCCTTTGTCCCTTTTTCCTCTGTTTTGTTATTTGGGTTTTCGTTCTCTTTATTTTTCTTTAATTGCTCCTGTACATTTTCAAGTTTAATTTGGTTAATGGTATCATACAACATGCAGCGTTGCATCAAATCGAAAAGCCAGTTTTTAGGGTTGTACTCGAATTCGTTCACATCTATGAATCGCAGATCTTTACCCAGTTGTTTTGTAAACTGAAGTTGCATTCGGCTAAATTTGTCTTCTTCTAAATTCCTGCTCATCGCTGCAATAACCAGATGAGATTCGGAAATAGCTACTGACCACAAAGGGGCGTCTTTGTTCATGTTCAAATTCAAAAACTTTTCTCGCTTTTCCGAGTTTTTATCATCTTGAGTCGTTTCATTTTGGCTTGGATCAAACTCTGTAGCAATTTGTAGCTGCAAAGCTTTAATACTTTCCTCAGTTTTTATTTCAAAACCTTTCAAAGCCAAAATCTCCGAATATTTTTTGCGCCATTTTTGATCTTTTTCAGCTGCGCATACAAAAACACTGATTTTGGAGTTCTCAG